ATAGTTCACAAGTTCAATGTATTGTATGCAACCCACATGGTAGTACCACCACCATCATAATAATTTATTGTAGGAAATTAATCTTTGAACATATTGAATCATACAAATATGATGTACTAATTGTAATAAGTACTAAAATATCAAAGAAATTTAAGCTTTGAAAAGAGAAATGATAAAATTTACATCTAATCTTGGTAGACCTAGTCATCAGACATAGATTGATATAATTTCATGAGGTCTTGTATAGCCTGGTTGTAAGGGCACTCAACTTGCACTCTGTAGGTCACAAGATCAAACCCCATCACTGAACATGCCCACTCTTTCAGCCATGGTGGTTATATAATGTGACCGTAAATCCCACTGTTTGGTGGTAAAAGAGTAGCCCAAGAGTTGATGGTGGCTGATGTTGACTAGCTGCCTTTTCTTTAATATATCGCTTCAAAATTAGAACAGCTAGCACAGATAGCCTTCGAGTAGCTTTGTACAAAGTCTAACAAACAAATAATTAATATATATAGTGTCTGAAGAGCATACACAACATTTCATGCCCATGTTCCTAAAAAACATTTTAATTATATTCTACCTTTCCTTACTGACCCATAAATCATGCTGCCATACTGACAGATACCACTGTTCTTAGTGTTAATTTGTTAAGCTTGTATATATCGTTTCTTTTTGTTATTTCCTCTCTATACCAGGACATTAATTACACTAATCACTCTACATGCTGTCATACTTCATTTGTCATTACATAACCTCTGTAATACATGTTTTCCAAAAACTAACGTTAACCTTGACTTTCATTGTTCATTGCTTAGTGTTACTAGTTATAGTAAGTTTTAGAAGAAAAATAAGTTTCATGGAACACTAGCTTGAGTCTTTTCTAGTTTCATCAACAACAAAAAGTTGCAACATCCAAAAGTAGTATTTCATCTTAATTAAGTTACTTCTGTAGGTGTAACAGATGCTTTTTTAAATGAAATATATATATTTTTTTCAAAATGTGAATCAAAGCATAAAATGTTGAACTTTTTGATCATTTAATCGTAGAATCACTAATGATGGTTCATACTGGCATTTTAAACATTTTTCTAAACTGTTTATGCACATGGTCGTGGGGCCATGATATTGTTGCTAACAGGGTTCCTAATAACATACAAGTCATATGAAAATGTATGTATGAAAATACCATCAGTATTGTAGTTAATCCCATTAATTATGCTTGGATATGTATTTTACATAGAAAATGAGTGATTTCACCAAATTTTATTTTGTCATTTCTTTGAATTGAGGGTTATAACAGGTAAAAAAATAAAATTACTCAATATGATGCAATATATAGACCTCTTTAGTAGTGAACTGTATAGAAACAAGTCAGTAATTTGAGGGTTAAAACTGAACACATCTATATGCAGCTCCAAGAATTTGTATTCTAGCTATTATGCATAAGAAAGTTAATTTGGTACTTCTAACATAAAAAACAAACTGTATACTCAGAAGAAAAAAGTCATTATTTTTTTACATAATTTCAAGTTCTTATATCTCAAGAATATGGTTGTATCATTTTGTAGAGTAGCAAGTCTTGACAGAGTCATATTTACTATCAGTAGCAGAGTAATATAATTTTTTAGAAAATAAAAAAAGTCCCCAGTGGTACAGTGGTATGTCTGCAGACTTACAATGCTAGAAACCAGGTTTTGATACATGTTGTGGGCAGAGCACAGATAGCCCATTGTGTAGCTTTGTTCTTAACTTCAAACAAGCAAGAAAAAAAGTTCTAATTTGAAAATCCAACAGTAACAGTATTATTGACAAAAACTTGGAGATAAAGTAAAAACTCGATGGCATAATGAACTGTTCAAAATGGATATTTGATGAAAATTGTACTTTGTATAAAAAGTAATGACAACGTTTATAATGATTACAGCCATGGCTTTATTCTATAAACAATTCTGTGTTCCACATTTAATTTGTTTAATGTAACAAGGATGCAGGAATGGATATTATATTTACCCAAATAATGTAGTGGTAAAAGGATACTTTCATACATTGTACTTTTGGATGTATGAAAAGTATCAAATATTTGTGAATATGCAGTAAAAATAATTGTCAAATAATGTTATGAATTTATTAAAAGTGTACTTTTGTGTCAAAAGAACAATTCAAATGTTATTATTTAATTATTCATGTAACTGCATACATATTTTAAGAATGCATGCTTTTAGTTTAGTGGGTTGGTTTTGTTACAGATTAACAGAACAATATAGTGTACTAATTTCATCTATTGATCATATAAAAAAGAAAGTCATATACTTCTGTTGCATAAGTGTTTG